AAGACACAGGGCGCGGGGGGAGGGGGGCCGGGGGTGACTGGGGCTTTGGGGCTCTGAGCACCCAGGAAACCGAGATAAGAGAGCCTTACTTCAGATGAAAAACAAAGGCGTTTTAGTTTTGAAAACCTGGCTAAGTCGTTAAGGTAATGGTGAAACCTAAAACTGGTTTCTGGTCCAAAGAAATGAGAAGTAGATTGAGAATTAAAAAAAAAGAAAATAAAAAAGAAAGAAAAAGAATAACTTGCATTACAAGGCGCAAGGACGGGACACAGGCCAAGAAGACCGTGGCATTCACCCCGTTCTCCTCCAACCGGGGCTGGACGCCACCTCAGAGAGGAGTGTCAACAGTGCAGACATCCTTCCCTGGAGGGACAGAGAAAGATGCCTGCCTCCGCAGGACCCTCTGGGTGTCACACTGTGTCTGAGGAAAGCAGGGGGTCACTGCTGGGGTGTGTACCTGCCAGGCTACCCTCGTGAAAAGCAGCCCCACTGCCTGAGCGCCAGCAATTCCCACTCCTGGGCACGAACGCTGGGGAAATCTGCACTTTGCAGAGGGCCGCAGGGTCCAGGGATTTCGCTGTGCTAGGGAGAACTGCCCTCAAGGTCTGTGAAGATGGGAAGTAAAAGTCAGCATGAAACTACCCTCAGCTGGGGCTGGAGCAATAACACAGCAGGTAGGGCGTTTGCCTTGCATGTGGCCGACCTAGGTTCAATTCCCAGCATCCCATACGATCGTCTCCTGAGCACTGTCAGGAGTAATTCCTGAGTGCAGAGCCAGGAGTAACCCCTGTGCATTGCCGGGTGTGACCACCCGCCCCGCCAAAAAAAAAAAAAAGAAAAAAGAAAAGAACTACCCTCAGCAGCCAGAAGCAAGAAGGCAGAGGCATAACTAAGGCCCAACAAACATGCGGAATGAAGTGGCCAAAGAACCTCTGGCTTGCAGAGAGCCAGAGGGACAGCCCTGCCTCTTCCCTGAGGCTACGTGGGCATACGGTAAACAGCTTCAGGTGGACAGGCCGGAGAAGAGGGCCAGGAGCGGGAATTACTATGCAGGGGGAAGAGAAAGCAGGAAAAGGGCTTTGTCTGTGCAGTGATGGGCAATGAACTGAAGAAGTATGATTCATTGCTCGGGGCAAAATGGCTGTAACACAGGGCAGGAGCAGCAAATATTGACAGAGTCAGGTTCAAGGTCCGCCAAAGCCCTGGTTCTAGCAAGGTGAGAACCCGCAGAGCAAGTGCTAATGAGCAGACGAGAGCCCACTGACAGGCCCATGTCCGTTCTCAGCTCGTCTTAAGTATCCAAGACAGACCCACGTGCTTGTTCCATGAGTCCTGCAGAGAAATATGACCGTCACCCAGGGCTGAGAGACAGGAGTCCTCGGACAGACCTGGAAAGTTTCGGAAGAGATCAGAGATAAGCCTCGAAGGATTTCAGTGGCGGAAGCCACATTCCAGGCAATGGGAGACGCTAAGCTGAACCTGCAGACATGCCAGGTGGCCCCCAGGGCACTGCCCTGACCTCAGCTGGCACCTGTGACCTGCAGAAACCCACCTAAGCTGGCCAAGCATCGGGCTGACATCGACTGGCTTTGAGTGGGAGAGAGGCTTGGCTCTGGATAGAGGCTGGCACGGTGGTCTTCCATCTCTGATTCATGGCCCAGAGGGCAGAAAAGGTGGGAAACCATAGTGATTACCACTGTACCCGGTCCTATGGGAAGGGGGGCACTGCCCAACAAACCCCACCCTGCACGGAAGCACTGCTGTCTCTCAGTGCGTCCTGGGGCCCCACTAGGCCGCCTGCTTCACATCCCTCTCACTCCACACACGGGGCCGCGTAGGGAGCCGAGGGGCAGGTCCAGGGCATGGCGCGAGCCCCTGCAGCCTCCTTGCTGCCCTCCCGCTGCTCTGCCTGTCCCCTCCCCGCGCTGGGGTCCTGGCGGTCTTCCCACCCGCACGTTCCATCTTGCTGCCCTCCCGCTGCTCTGCCTGTCCCCTCCCCGCGCTGGGGTCCTGGCGGTCTTCCCACCCGCACGTTCCATCTTTAAACACACGCTGGGGTGTGTCAAGCAACACCTCCCCAGCGAGTGCTCGCAGGAAGTCCCCCAGCACACCCGGGTCCCCCGCTCCCACACTCGGGCTCCTTGGGGCTCCCCAGCAGCTGCCCTTCCTGCTCTGTCCCCGGGGAGGGCTGCTCCCACCCCCCCCCCTTCTCCTTCAGTGACCTGAGGGTCAGCCAGGAGAGCCCAGAAAACCTGCCTGCCTGCTGGGATTCCCAGTTCCCAACCCCAACCCAGTTCCTCCCCCTTCCCCAGTCTCTCCTCCCTTACAGGGTGGTCGTGAGAATTTAAAGGGGAGGATGCTTGGGAGCCATCTGCAGTGGGCCCACCCAACAGCTTTATTCAGGGTCAAAGAGACAGAACAGTGGGGAGGGCAGGAGCACGCCCTGAGCACAGCTTAGGAGGTGACCCCAAAATTAAACACAGTTCGACGCATGCTCTGGGGCTTCCACACCAAGGCACATACTCGTGTGCAAATGGGCCATTCCTCAGAGATCTGGGTCAAGTAAGTACATCCCTTCCAGAAGCTTCTGCGCCACCTGCTTTATTATTTGTTTTCATCTCCACAGAGCCCTCTCTTTATTCTACTTAGCTGCCCTGGGGAACATGAGGGGGGGTCTCTCATATACTGAAGCTTCACAAGAGCAAGGAGCTTTTTTCCTCCTTTTGGTGCCAGGGATTGAACCCACAGCCTCCCACATGCCAGGTGCTCTCCTGCTGAGCTACAGGGAATGGAGTCTAGACATTCCCCGGCCCTTCGGGGAATGGGGTCAGCTTGTAGTCACCCTCCTCCTGGCCTATGTTGGCTCCTCCCCTACTCAGACCTTCAGTCCTTGGAGCTGCACCCCCAACTTCGTTCTTGTTCTGATTTCCACCCTCACCCCACCCCAGTCATGCCACTGATCCATCCAGAATAGTACGGCTTCTTCTAAGAGGCCCAGCACCCCCAATAGGGGCCAACGAACTAGCCCAGCAGTAGAAGGCTCAGAGGTTTGTTAGTTTTCGGGCGGGACCTGCTCAGGAAGCCTGATACTCCTTCAGTGATTCTCAGCTCAGTGTGGGAGCCAGAGGAGAACTGGTGTTTGGGGGACCTCAGGGCTGCGCCTCACAATGCTCGGGGGACCATGCGGTGCTGGGGGTTGAACTGGGGTAGGCTGCATGCAAGTCAAGCACCTTAACCTCTGGGCTCTCTCCCCAGGACCCCAAGAAGGAAAGTGGCCCGCTCAAAGCAGGACCAAGAGATTATTCTGGATGGATCAGTGGCACGACTGGGGTGGGGTTGTGGGGGGGTGGAAATCAGAAGAACGAGGACCAAGTTGGGGCTGCAGCTCCAAGGACTGAAGGTCTGAGTAGGGGAGGAGCCAACATAGGCCTGGAGGAGGGTGGCTACAAGCTGACCCCAGGAGCAAGGTCCCACTGAGAGGGAAAGCACCCGAGACTTCTCACAGCTCTGCTCTTCCTAACTTCCAACAACAACGTCTGTGGGCACTGAGCAGGGAATTGCCAACCTCAGCACACCCCCAGGCTCACGCACCCCTAAATTCACACGTTCTAAATTCACACCTACCTATCACCCAATTTTTTTTAAGAGAGCACCCTACCCCAAACCCACTTTTGCTACTGTGATGATTTGCTGTGGCGCTTGCACACATGTGCTCCTGGGGGAGTCACACACTTGGGCCGTGTTGCTTACACACATCTGGCAGCGAGGGCCCCCAAGAACGCATGCACTGTTGAGGGGCTGGGGGCCCCACAGAGCAGAGGAGCCAGCGCATCAGGGATTCAATTTACACGGCAGGAGCTCAGCCTGAGTCATCTCCCAGACCACCAAACCCAGGTGAAGGCCAGACTTTCTCCCGACCAATGAACCAACCAACTTGATCTGAGCTTTCTTTCTGAATTTAAAGTATTATTAGTTGGCTTTCTGCTTGTCTGTTTGTTTTTGGGGTCTCAGCTGGTGATGCTCAGGGCTTACTCCTGGCTCTGCACTCAGAAATCACTCCCGGCAGTGCTCAGGGGGCCCTATGGGATGTTGGGGATTGAACCTGGGTCAGCCGCATGCAAGGCAAACACCCTTCATGCAGTTCTACCACGCCATCCCCTTTATTAGTTTGTTTTTCAATTTTGAAGTTATGTTTTAAGTTTGTTTGAAGCAGCCAGACAGACATGTATGGCTGATAAGGAGCTCGCTTTGCATATGGCTGATCTTGTTTAGATCCCTGGCACCCAGAATACAGCAGGAGTGATCCCTGAATGTGTGCATGTGCGTGCGTGTGTGTGTGTGTGTGTGTGTGTGTGTGTGTGTGTGTCTTCTCCAAAGCCTGTAAAAAATTTGTTTGGGGGGGCTGGAGAGATAGCACAGCGGGTAGGGTGTTTGCCTTGCACGTGGCCGACCAGGGTTCGATTCCCAGCATCCCATATGGTCCCCTGAGCACCGCCAGGAGTAACTCCTGAGTGCAGAGCCAGGAGGAATCCCTGTGCATCGCCGGGTGTGACCCCAAAAGCAAAAAAAGCATTTGGTTTTAGTTTAGTTTCTTTCGCATTTCACTGGTATGCAAGCTCTCGAGGGCTGGGAGCACCATCAGTTTTGGGAACTAGACATTTTCAAGTCTAGAATAAGGGCAGACACTATTATAGGCCTTCAATAAGTCTTCGCCAAATGAATGAACAAATTTCAAAATGCATAACCAAATCCACCTACACTCCACTCAAATGCTCCTGTTTTGTCACTTTATAAACAAAAGGACCTGAAATAAACCTTCAGGGTCAAGTTGGGCCTCACCTGTGTGCTCCTCCCATTTCTCTCTGCCCTGGGGAAGTAGCCAGTGTGCTGAATTCTTCCCCTTTCAGCCCTTGTACATCTACCTGACCACAAATATACGTGACCACAGAAAAGGCATTATTACTTTTAAGGGTTTTTTTTTAAGTCAATAAAACACAACTCTGCAAGCCTCCAGGGGCTGGGGTCCGGAGTGACCCTATGCATTCCACTGTGCTTGCAAGAACATTATGAAACAGTTTGAGGCCTTGCCCTGCTCCATCCAGAGACCGGTTATAGAAATTTCAAAAGGAAAATAAAATAAAACGCAACTAATTTTTACTTTACAGCAATGATTTGATATTCACCTCGGTAATATTTACACAAATGGCATAATAGGTAATATTCTACTACTTGCCTTGATTCACTTGATACTGTTTTGGGGACCTTTCCACATTGACACTTTCCAACTGACATTAGTTGTTCCAGTCTTTCATCAAACGAATACATCACATTTATGCAATTTCCCTTTCTCCTAGAAGCATTTTCAGCTGAGATAAATCACTCCTATATCCCATCAAATTTATCTTAAATGCATAACCCAGTGGGATTTTATTTTTCAGCATATTCAGAGTTATACAATCATTACTACTAATTCCACAACATTTTTATCACCCCCAAAAGGAAACCACAGTGCCATTAGCAATCACTCTGCAGTCCCCACTACCCCCCACCCTGGAAACTACTCATCTAAATTCTGTCTTTATGGGTTTGCTGATTCTGGAATTTCATGTTTAATAGACTCAAACAATGCATGGCCTTTTGTATAAAGCTTCTTTCAATCTCCAGACTGCTTTTGAGGTTTATCCATCAGTATTTTTTCCTCCTTTTTCTTTATGTGGGGAGTGGGGGTTGTTTGGGGGCCACTCAGGGCTTACTCCTGGCTCTGAGCTCGGGGATCACTCCTTGCAGGCTCAGGGGGTCACATAGGATGTCAGGGATCAAATTTGGGTCAGCCACGTGCGAGGCAAGAGCCCTGCCCACTGTACTATCGCTCCAGCTCCAGTACTTATTCCTCCTGATGGCTTAATCATATTCCAGGAGCAGAGAGTGCTACCCAAGGAACGCTGGAAGCCCTGGAGTCTCTCTGGGTCTCATCCCAGAGCACATACGGTGAGCAGAAGCAACGGGAGATGAGGAAGAATGAAACTGTGAGGGTGTTTCTTCCCATGGCACGACTCATCCCAGCCTCACGCATAGGCCAAGTTTCTATTTTCATACATAAATAAGACTCGGTGGTTGTCCCTGCAGTGAAACCCATCCCCATTCTGATTAATAAACCTATTTTTCACTCTTGTATACACAATGCAATAAAAGTCCTGGCCTATGCTTTCCTGGGACAATCTCCCCAGGCCCTGAGCTTAGGGGGATCTATCCAGAGGTGACACCACTAGGTTCTAGGAGAGGCCCGCTGTCAGGTTTACTAGATGTTTCCAACCTGTGTTTTCCAAAGTGTTCAACCCGTTCCTGTTGCGACCAGCAGCCTCTGAGCACTCCCACCCCCCACCCCCAACCCCTCACCCCCTGATCTAACCAACACTTTCAATCCTGTGCTCTCCATTGGGGGAGAAATAATAATCATCTCCAGAACAGAACCATTCTCAAGGTCACTCAAGGGCAGGTGTTAAACCAAATATTCTGGTTGACCAGAGGGCCCTTAATGTTGCCTCTTTTGCTCTTAAATATCACTTTAAATCATTCCTAAGGTATAAAAATAATATTACTTTTGCCTGATGCTCAGTCATGGGGGTGGGGGGCGGAGAAAGCAAGATAATAGAGTGATTCTAAATTGATTCCAGACATTAGACCTTTGTTATAAATATCAATTTTCAGGGCTGGAGAGATAGTCCAGCAGGGAAGGCACTAGCCTTGCACACGGCTGACCCGGGTTCCATCCCCAGAATCCCATATGGTCCCCTGAGCCCCGTCAGGAGTAACCTCTGAGCACTGCCAGGTGTGGCCCAAAACAACAACGGCAATTTTTATAAAATCAATTCTCGTGGTCTAAATTTAGATACAGACAAAAGAGCACAATGTGAATTGATATAAATCCCAGATTCTTTCATCAATCATCTTACAAAAAAAAAAAAACCCTGAGTTTCTGATGATTGGGGTGAATATTTAGGGCAGTACAGTATACAATGGCCAAAAATAAATAACGAGATGCAAATGTCCATTTATAAGGAGAGAGGGGTTTTTTTTTCCTTTTTTGAATTAGGTATGCCTTGCTAGTAGCTGCCAAACTGCCTTGAAAGTAAGGAGATAGACTTCCATATGATTTCAGACCGTTTCCGCTGGGATATTACTTGTCGCTGAGCGACTCCGGAAAGATGCACCCTTCTTGCATTGAGCCAGCTCCCGCTAGAGAAACAAACACGGTCCAGCTCCGCACGCACAGTCTCCGGACCACTTGGCAAGTTCCCCATCCGCTGTCCCCAAGAGAGAAGTCCCAATGACACGACCCTGAGTTCCCAGGGAAGAGCCTCACCAGGAACCTCGCAATGGTCCCCAGAACTTGGTCAGGGAGCCAGGGAGTCAGTCAACAGGAAAAACAAATAAAGATGCTGTTTGTGTCTGTCCCCATCCTCTCCCGGAAAGCCAGTCCCTGGGGGACGGGGGCCAGGACAGGCTTTGCTGTTTCCACCCTTCCCCCCAAGTCCAGGCCAGAAGGAGAAGTGGGAATTAACTGGATGCAAGTTCATGGTTTTCGGGTCTCAGCCAGTGTCAAGGGAGTGGGGACGGGGCACCGGCTACCAGGGCAGGGAGAAGAAGCGCTCCATGGAATTCTCCAGAACCCCAGACTTCCCCTCCAAGACCACAGTGAGGGGGAGTGCCCAGGGCACCTCGGCCACCAGGGGAATCACCCCAACTCACCCTACAGAGCATCAAAAGGGAAGACCTTGAAAGGAGCACAGAGTGTGTGATGCATTTCCACAAAAGGTACAGCACTGGTGAGTACACTGAGAATTAAGTCAGCAACTTCCAAGAACTGGGGGTATTGTGTATGGATGGAGGAGGAGGAAGAGGAAGGAAGCGACAGCTCATGAGTATTTGCTTTTGGGAGTAATGAAAAATGTTGCAAAATTGATAGTTTGTGTGTGTGTGTGTGTGTTGTGGGGGAGTTGTTGTACAATTCTCTGGATAAACAACAAAGGTCTGAAATTGTTGTAAAAACAAATTAGAATTTCAGCAATGTAAAGCAATCTCACCGAATGCTAGGAGAATTTTGTGTCAGGAAAGCTGTCCCCGGGGAGACAACGAAACAGCTGCTTCATGCTCACGCTCTGCATGCGGGAGGCTTGGGATGGTCTTCAGCACTGCATGGTCCCCAAGCACTGCGAGGAAGCAGTGACCCCAGAGCACTGATCCAGGAGTATCCGTAAGCACCACCAGTGTGGCATCCCCCTCAAAACAGATAAGAGACCTGTCACCCCAAAGTGGAAGTGTTTACTCCCCCTCCCCAGGATCCCCGCCCTGAGTGAAGTGACACCTGAGGACAGTGGAATTCAGGCTGGGCACAGACTGGAGGAAGTTCTTGAGACTGTGTCACTGCAGCCACTTCCGGTTCATGTGGCTGGTACAAAGGACACGGGGGTAAGGGCAAAGATGACCCTGAGGTCCTGGAAACTCTGAGAGGAGCTACCTGCTCTTAGGAGCCATTGGGCTGGCTGGGTCCCCAAGACTCCACTCCCAGCCACTTCTGGGTGGCACAAGGAGTCCCCTGACGCCCCACAGAGTCAGTACGGAACTGCAAGCTTTGAGGGAGTCCCACTCTGAATGTCTCCTGGTCAGCCCAGGCACCCCCCCCCCCCCGCCTCTACCCACCAAGTAGGTAGCTCATCTCAATGGCACCCCTCTTTCTTCCAGGAATCCGGGCTAGGAAGGCCAGTCTCTCCGGCCAGCCCCTTCTTAGGGGTGAAGTTACGGAACAAACACTCAGCAGGTCATACACACTCGGACATGTGCCCTGGGGAGAAGTTGGCCCGGGAAAAACTGGGCAGAGGCTGGTATTTGCTCTAAGGGAGAGGGAGCTGAAGAATAGAGGGATGAAGGCGCCGTGTCGTCCCCTGGGCATCACGGGGTAGAGCCCTGGAGGTCCTCAGGAGGTGCCTCCTCTTGGCACTGCAGGGCCCCGTGGAACAGCATCCTCAGGCTCACATTGGGTGGCCCGCGCAGGTGGCCCAGAATTGCTGGGAGGGGCCTATGGGCCTGCTGAGCTTTGGGGCTGGGGCTGGGATGTGGCTCAGAGCATTTGCCCTGCCTGTGTGAGGGCCTGGGTCCCATCCCTGGCTCTGTGCACTCTCTCTCTCTCTCTCTCTCTCTCTCTCTCTCTCTCTCTCTCTCTCTCTCTCTCTCTCTCTCTCTCCCTGACCCAGTGAGAATGTGCATAGCCTCTGTTCCCTAAAACGCAGGGAGCAAAGACAGGCCCTGTCCAGCTCCTCTCCTCACCTCCCTTGCCTTAATTCTTCCCGTGCTTTCCCGTCGTGTCTTGCTTTCTCTGGGGACCACTTCCCCAGGGGCTCAGGGGTGGCTCCAGGTGGTGCTCAAGGCATCCAGGCCCCCACAGCCCACCCACTCCTCCCAGCTCTGGCTCACAGCCAGCCGGCCCCGCCACTGCCTCTGTGCCCCCACGGACACTGGAAGTGGCGTTTCTGCACCAGATGCCAGGAGGGAGAAAGGGCCCCTTCTGCACAGGCAGCGCCCCCCCACCCCCCCAGCGGCCCTGCTCACTGGGCAGGGCCAGAGGCAGCAGGGAGGGCACTAGTTATGAAGTTGGTCTTAACTGGTGCGGTGGGCATCAGGGATCCTGGCAGGTGGGACAGGAGCAGCCAGTCGTGTCTGGGGAAATGTCACAGGGACTACACACCTTCGACTTCGACAAGTCAGCACTGAGCGCAGCACCCCCCACCACCATCCCCCGGCTCCCAGAAACAGTCAGGAGCCCTCCTGGAACGCTCAAGGGTTTGTCGAGGAAAGGCGGAAGTGACACCATCTAGGAGCTCAGTGACCAGCATCATGGTGGGCCCTGGCGCATCACACAGGACCCTTGGCCTGGGCAGAGTGCAGAAGGGGTGAGACAGGGAGAAGGCACACCAGGAACAAGCTGATGCCCAGCGACCGTCCTCCTCACGGGCCAGGTCTCCTTCCTGGCTGCTCAAAGGCCACCCTGAAGGCGAGTGGCTGTGGGCGGCTCGTGGGGGATATCAAGGACAGTGGAGCCTGGGCCCCCTCCGCCAGCTCAGGTCACTGTCACC